AATTTATATATCATCCATTTTGAAATATATTAAATATAGATAACTGTTTTGACTATCAGTGGATGATAGCATTGTTTGTTATAGAAATTGAATAAGAGCTAGGTTAATTGAAACCAATTCACTCATGCATTTCATTTATTTAACTATTTCATGCCTATGCATTTGAAAAGTATTGCTTTAAAAAAATGGGTGAATACCATGGTGAATCTGATTAGGGGATGTGGTTGTGTTTAATTAAGTTGGCCTTTGTGTTCTTGGTGAAAGTCTAGAAATCCACGTGGTTAGGATGCCTCATTTCGGTTAGTTGCCGGTAAAGTGGTTTTGGTAGTGTTTTTTATGTCCTACTGGTAGACACGTACCTAGAGGCTACCAATGTGTGTATTTACTACCTTGTTTTCAGTTTTGAAGCAAATATATAAATTGTAATTTGAACTTTGGCATATCATTGTTTGAAAATGAGAAAAACTCATGTTTGTAATGGCATTTCATATGCATTCACCATATGACTTTGTTAAATATCATACATGTCATTAAACTTGTCTCTACTAGGTTTTAGCTCACCTTATATGGTAAAACATTTGAGGTGTTGATGGTATGCCTCCACCAAGAGGATAGCTTGGGAGGAAGTTGGAGCTGAACACTCGTTTTTGTATTTTATTTTGTGTAAACCTAGGACATTTGGTTTATTGGGCATAAGATCCCTTTCATTTTAACCCAGTAAAATCTTGGAAACTTGTAACCACTAAGGGATGAAATTGTAATAGCTTAGATATAAATCTTTATCACTTATATGCTATAGATTCAGGTTATAGAATCATTGAACAACTAGGGTTGGTTAATTCCCCCCCCCCCCCCCCCCCCCCCCAAAAAAAAAGAAAAAAAAACCATGGTTGATTATTGCAGGAGTTTGTAGGTGGATGGATGATGATTATTTTTAATTGTTATAGGCAACGAAATGCTGCATCACTAATAATTTTTAGAGTTATTTTTTAGTGTTTTATGGAGAAATTAATTGTCTCTTAAAGGTTTTGTTTTTTTTACTTTGACTATTAATATTTTAATTTTTTTAATTTACTCCAAAAATCAATTTCTGTCATATTTCAGGACCCAGAACACAAACCTCAAATTCCAAACCTAAATTTTAACACCCATCTCTTTCTCCTTTTTAATACTGTATTTGGTTACTTACAAGAGAAAAGAAAATAGTAATTATATAAGTTAAGAGAGAAAAGAAAAGAAAAGAAAAGAAAAGATTGTGATTTTTCTCCCTCTTATTTGGATGAATAGAAGAGAAAATATTGATTATCTCCTATATTGTTTGTATAGCGATCCCGATTTTGCCTCCATTGGTTATTGTAATCCGGACTCAGTTCCGTAGATGTTAGTTGTTGTATTTGTTTCGTTCCATCCTTTAATTCTTTGTATTGGAGTTTTAGGATGTGTTGGGTAGGTTTGTCACAGGTAGGTAGTGAGTTTGAACATATAGTTGCTGCCCAGAATTTTGTTCCTTCGCTCGAGCGAGGCTTTTGTCGCTCGTGCGAGATCTGTGTTTTAGATCCTTCGCTCGAGCCAGGGTTCCTTTGCTCGAGCGAGAGTTGGGTGATGTGTCTAGTGGCTCGAGCGAGAAGTCTTGCGCTCGAGCGTGCGTCTGGTTCTGGTTCTGGACCTGAAGGTTGTGATTCTTGGCTCGAGCGAGCTTTCCTTCGCTCGAGCGAGCGAACGAGCTGTATGTTTTGGATTTCTTCGCTCGAGCGTGCTTCTGGGTTGCAGACCTAATGCTTCGAATTATTGGCTCGAGCGAGGCTTTCTACGCTCGAGCGAGGGTTCCTTATGTCTGGTCGCTCGAGCGACCACTCCTTCGCTCGAGCGAGCCTCGAATATATCAGTAGACAACAGTAGCCATCTCCCTCACTTTTGATACACATTTCATTCCAAACCCTAGATCCAGCTCGCTCTCTCTCTACACACACCTTGTCTCTAGGGTTCATCTAGTTTTTGAGTGTTTCTACCCTAGTCTCTTTGTAAGAAAGGTAGAGGGTGGCGTGGGCTTCATTTTAATCTGAAGAATAGTGGATTTGGAGCACTTTGGGTTTTCACCATCTTCTCCGTTTGGTCTCTCACTTCGAGGTAGGGATATCCTACTCCTTCTTATGGGTTTTGACTTAAATATTTGTCATTTTGATTAGTTGGTGTTGTTGGGTAATTTTGGAGAAAGTTAGGGTTTGGTTTGTAATTTATAAAAGAGGGGTTTTGTGTTTAATAACTCCATGTGTATTTAAGGCCTTGGAAATATGAGTTTGAGAGTTAAATTGGTGGAATTTGGTCTTAGGATCAATATTTGAGAAAAAGAGAGAATGCCCTAATTTTTGTAATAAATTAATTTGTATAATTAATTTGGGAAAATGCAGAAATATGAAATTGAGTTGATATTCATGAAATTGGAAAATTATGAGATTGAAAGGTGTAGTTGGATAATTTAATCACTCACCTATGAAAATGTCGATATTTTATCTGTTAGATAAATTTACTATCTGTTTAGAGATAACTACTTTGGGCTATCGGTGGAGGATAGTCTTGATTGTTGTAGACATTGTATGTTGATTAGGGAAAAACTGAAACTAATTACATTGAATATGTCATTAAGTATGACGGTTGGAATAATACATCGAATATACGTATTGATTGATCATTGTCTATGATAATTGTCTAAGTACATTATTTATGTATCGTTGATTGGGAGGACATGGGGGATGTACTCCATATGTGCTCATATGCATAAATACTTTGCATATGCATCTTTGTTTGGGAGGAGATAGGGGATGTACTCCATATGTGTTCATATATTTTAACACATTGATTATGTATCTTTGTTTGGGAGGAGATGAGGGATGTACTCCATATGTGTTCATATACTTTAACACATTGATTATGTATCTTTGTTTAGGAGGAGATGGGGGATGTACTCCATATGTGGTCATATACTTTAACACATTGTTTATGTATCTTTGTTTGGGAGGAGATGGGAGATGTACTCCACATTGTATATGTATCCTTGTTTGGGGGAAGATGAGGGATGGACTCCATAGATAATTAAGCTGGCTAGAATGTCTGGGGTGAAAGTCCCGAAACCTTATGAATTGAAGCGCATGAATAGAGTTATTAATTGGAGTATTAATTACATGAGTTGTAGTCTCATTTTGAATCGTGGATAGCGGAAGTATTAATGAGTCGAGCTGTAGTCTCACCTAAATTGTTTGGTTAGCTAATGAACCATATTGAGGAATTGAATTGGATAAATAAGGGAAGTGGGTGGTAGCATGGATGTAATTATTGTCGGGTGATGAGAAGGGTATGAATTGGTCTGCACGTATTAATCATTTGTCGAATGATAATGTTTTAGTTATTTCTCATATTGCGCTTAGTTTATCTCTACTGGGCTTTGGCTCACCCTTTTTGGGACACCATTTTAAGGTACATGAGACGTGTCAAGTTCAAGACCTTTGCTTAGGAAGTTGTCGGAGTTGAAAACTTTATTTTGTTATTTGTTTTATTGATTTCATGTAAATGCAAGCCAAGGGCTTTACCTATGAAAGAGTTCAAACTCTTCTTTTGTGTAACCAAGTAACAACTTGGAAAGATGTAAGCCCGCATGGCATTCTATTATTGTTGTAAACATTTGTTACTTATATGAAATTCTCTTTTGTAACATTAACTCTGATGTATGTATGGAAAAGTAATCTATCTATCATGTATATAGAACTGTTGGATGTTGCGTTTATGTATTATTTGAGGGCGTTACAGTTTGGTTAAACTATATAAAAGAAAAAAAGAAAAAGAAAAAAAGTAATGATATCATTTTATATTACCAAATTAACTTGTTATAAGTGTCAGTCTTTTTATTTTTTCAGTATCTAAAAGGATAGTTATGGTATTATAATAAAATAATATTTAGGCCTCGTTTGGAAACAAGCTTTTTTAGTAACTTTTTGACTTTGTGGCTAAAATATGAGGTAAAAAAACTAGTATGTTTGGAATGACTTTTTGATTTTTTATGAAAAGATGTGTAAAAAATAGAGAGAAAAGAGAATCTTTGACTTTTAGGTATAGGTTATAGGCTTTTTGGTTTTTTTTAGTAACTTTTTGAATTTTAAGCTAAAAATGTTGCATGCCAAACGAGGTTCCAATCACAATAAAAAATTTAAGCAAGCTTCAAATACTAACTCTTTATGACAACTGAATACAAGGATTCATACTAGTTAATCTATGCTATTTAAAATAACCTGGGGCATTACACTTGGGAAAAAATAACCTTTCTGGATTGATACTGGCAAGCCTAGGGAATATTACTTCCCTAAGATATCTAGATCTAGATTCAAACAAATTAATTTCTAGCATACCCACAAGTTTGTGTAGCCTTAAGGACCTCTTGGAACTTAAATTAACCTTGAATTATTTAAGTGGATATTTACCACTAGAACTTGGCAATTTAAAGGTTGCAATTAGCATTGATCTATCGATGAACCAATTCTGAGGGCAAATCCCAAGCACCATCGGAGGTCTACAAGGTGTGATTAATCTTTCTTTGGCACATAACAGATTACAAGGACCAATTCCTCATTCAATAGGTAGTTTGGTAGACTTGGAATTTTGTGATCTATCTCGTAACAATCTATCTAGTGTAATTCCAGCTAAGGTACTTCAATGTATCTTTCAATAGATTAAGAGAAGAAATTCCAAGTAGAAGGTCTTTTGTAAACTTCACATATCAATCTTTCATGTTGAATGAAGCATTGTGTGGTGCTCCTTAGTTGCAAATCCCACCATGCCATGCCGACTCTTATCGTAATCGAGGACAAAACAAATGCTGCTAATTGTATAAATTTTGTTGTCGATTGCGTCCATATTGCTTGCCATGACCTTTATATTTACGTTTATAAGATGCTGCCAAAAAAGAAACCAAAATCCAATTCAAACTGATTTGCTACCTGCAAGAATAAGACATGGAAGAATTACATACCATGAACTTTCACGAGCAACCGATATGTTTAGTGAAAGCAACTTGCTTGGAACAGGGAGTTTCAGTTCTACTTATAAAGGAATGTTTCCTGGTAAGACGATTTTTGCTACGAAGGTGTTCAAATTGGAACTAGATGGCGCGTTCAAAAGCTTAGAGATAGAATGTGAAATATTGTGCAACATTCGTCACCGAAATCTCACCAAAGTCATTAGCAGTTTCTCAACCCTTGATTTTAAAGCCCTCGTACTTGAGTACATGCCTAATGGCACTCTGGAAAAATAGTTATATTCTCACAAGTATTTCTTAGATATGCTGCAGAGGATCGACATAATGATAGATGTGGCTTGTGCCATGGAGTATCTTCACCATGGTTATTCAATGCCTGTGGCTCATTGTGATTTGAAACCAAGCAATGTGTTACTGGATGATGATATGGTTGCACATGTGAGTGATTTCAGCTTTGCAAAGTTGTTAGGTGGTGGGGAGAGCATTGCACAAACAAGGACAATAGCAACATTTGGATATATTGCACTAGGTGATGCTTCTATCTTGCAATTCCTTTTCATGTCCATGCTTTCATTATTTTTAATTCATTTATTTTTTCGACAAAAAATATACATTTTTTTTTTCCAATAGAAAATGCTTTCTTGTTTTTGGTTGTGTCCTTGAAACCAATGTATTAGTTGTTGGAAAATAACAGTTTTTCGACAACTTTAATTTGAAATTAAAGTGGGATCCATCCTCCGGTTGAAGTGGACTCGAGCGGGGTTGTATTCTTTTAAGTGAGAAGGTTGCAATACAAAAATAATGAACCGAACCCATTAGTTTACAAATGAGAATTGTCTCATAAAGTGGGCATCAATAAAAGTTGGGTTTAGATTTAGACTTAGTCTTTTTTGGACTGAGCCTAGACTTGTGCTTGTGCATGTGCTGGGTTTGGTCTTGGTCTTGATCTTGGACTTGGGCCTAGTCATGAGCTTGGTCTAAACTGTGCTGTGTTAGGGTTAGCATGTGCATGTGTTTGAGATTAGGCATGCATCGGCTTGTGACCCAACATCCATATCCGTTTTACGACCCATCTAGTTGGTTTATTCAGATATCATTATGTACGTATTTATTTATATATATTAAGCACATTAAAGGTTTAGACTTTTGTAACTCTCATCTTTTGATGATGGAGTTGATGACCATATTAGTGGCCATACAACTCTAGCCCTAATGACTAGAGTTGACGGCCTTGGTTAATGGCATTTGACAGCCCTCATAATAATAGCCTTCATGGCTAAGAACTTCCCTATTTGTATAAATAGAGGCATTTTCCCCTTGAACTTAGTAGGATGATTTTGGAGAGATATTTTAGATGGAAAATGAGATGTTGTTTTGAGATAATAAAGTTGGAGATGGTTTTTATACCGAAGAAAATTTTTCTTATCTTCTTTGTTAGCCCCTTCTTTGGTTCTTGTTAGAGAGAGAGAGTATTGCCATTGTCAAGTTTGCCGAAACTATTCAAAAGGTGCTTTTGCTCTAACTAGTTTCGACCGTCGTATCTTGGGAGACAAACGCGAGCATAACTCTAGCACCCATCAAGGAGGCGGCGAATCTATTTTAAGGAAACTATCTGTATTACAGGCTTCGGTACATCCTTTATCTTTTGTTCTTCAAAGTTTTAAACTTATTAAAACTATCTTTGGTATATTATTTTGTATGTCCATGTGAATCTATCTTGAAATATGTTCCATGATGTGATCTATTTCATTCTTATATTTTTAGTTCTGTAGTTTATTCTATATTTCTTATTTAATAATAAAAAAAATTATTTTTTCATTTCTATTTAATTTAATAATATATATTTACAATATTATTATAAAAAATACCAACAATAGTGGTGGTGTTGCTGGAGGTAGTAGGGTGATATGGTGGTAACAGTGGCAGTGAAAGTGTGGTGCCATTGATAAAACTTTAGTTTGCAAAACGTTTTTTGCCCAAATAACCTTGTTTCTTTGTTGACTAGGAAACGATTGTATTGCCTTTTGTGTTCCGTCATATCATGCGCCAAAAAATGCATACACTGTTTTCAGTCGACACAAGTGGAGAATTAAGTTTCAATTTAAGTTTATGATAAATTATTTTACTTTTCTCACCATGTTACTTCTCATGAATGTAATGTAGAGTATAGACTGGAAGGATTAGTTTAGACAAAATGTGATGTTTACAATTATGACGTCATGTTGATGGAAACATTTACAAGATCAAAGCCCATTGATGCGAGATTTGATGGAGCTTTGAGTTTGAAGTGTTGGGTGGCTAATGCATTGCCTAATGCAATAGTTCAAGTTCTAGATGTCAACTTGTTCATGCAAGACATTGAACACAACAATGCAAAGGTGCAATGTGTGTCATCTCTTATGCAATTGGCTTTGAATTGCTCTGCAGACTCACCTAAGGAGAGGATGATCATAAAGGATGTTCTAGTAGCAATTAAGAAGATCACACTTCGGTATGTTGAAATTTGTAAATAAACTTATGAGGAAAACATCTCTTCCACATTATTATGTTCCTTATTTTCAAAATTAATAAGGGCATCATTGGATGTTGATTTAACTTCAATGTTATTTATATATATAGAGTCCTAAATCTTTAATCAAATTATTGGGCTTGCTTTATTGAGATGATAATCATAGTTAATTTAGTTTTGAAGTATATGTTAGATTAACCATTAAACTTGACTTTGTGAATCCATGGACTTGGTTATCGCGGGGGGATATAGTTCCATTTCTGTGCATTTTGCAAGAGATTCTTCCATATTGGAAGCATAGTAGAATATACCAAATATATAAATAATTTATGAAAAGAAAATCTATATAATAAGGTAAGAAGGTTTTTGAAAATATATCAAAATGTTTAAGAGATACATTTTGTATCAATGACTGAGATGAATCTGAATGTATATCAATGGTTCCGATCCATAGATGATTCCCACCCAAACGCTTCTCCTACCTTCCCATCTACCTACTTCTCCTCCCCACATTCCCTCCCTCTCTCTCTCTGTTTAAACATTTTTTCTCCTCTATCAGCTTTTGCCTCCCATTTCTCTTTCTACCCATTTCTTTCTCTACCTTCAGACCTCACTCTGGTAACTTAGTCATCATTCCAACCACTTCGGCTGCTCGGTTGTAAGGTTGGTCTCTGTTCTCTGTGTAAAAATAGCTTCAGAGCATTTTTTTTTCTCTTTTTGTTTCACTCAAACATGCAAATCTATAATATATAGCCCCCATGTTCAATGTTTCATGCATAATATTTGTTTTGTTTCTACTCAATATATAGCCCCCATTTCTTTTTGTTTCATGAAACTTTGCTTCAGAAACATGAAACATGAAACATGAAACATTGCTTTGTCCATACATAGCCCTTATTTCATCCCCATTGTGTCCCTCTCTCTCTCTCTCTCTTCATAAAACACTCTTCTATCACTGGATCCAACCTCTCCGAACGAATTAGGATCCTCTACTTGCACTCTCTCCTTGTTTTCGTACTTGCAATGGTGGAGATGCATCCTATGATGATCCAACGGTTCAAAATTGATTATTTTTATAACAAAAAAAAAATTATATATATATATATATTTTAAAATAGTTAGATCCAGACGTTGGATTATCCTAAGATGCATCTCCACCATTGCAAGTAGGGAGGCAAGGAGAGAAAGCAATTAGAGGATCTGGACAGCACTCGCCTCCATAGTTGCCACTGTCGCCTTCGTTGAAATTCCGACTTCCTAGCCACGAAATTCAACATCTCATCCCTCTCCCCAACCTCTCTTCTAAGCTCTTCAATGCTCTGCCTCATCTCCGCCTCCGATTTCTCGATCTCCTCTGCCCAACATCGATTTGGTGAAACAGCTACTTCTCCTCCTACTGCCAAGCATGGTGTTGGCTTTGGAGTCCTTCTTCGTTGTGAGCGAAGCTGCCTTGGAGTCCTCATTTAGAGCATTCTTTTTGTTTTCTTTTTGTTTCACTCACATATGACCAAGTGAAGGTTCAAAGAGTTGTTATATAAATATTTGTATTGTTTGTACTCAACAGTCAAATTTGTTTTTGTTTCTATGCTACAGTTTGATTTGTGTTAAAACAGTGTCGGTCATATTATATAGATATTTGTTTTTCTTTCTTTTTTTTCTTTTTTTTTAAAAATTAGCCCACATTATCATCTTCGCTTTGTTTAATTTTAATTTTAAAATTTAATAAAAAAAAATTTCTAAGATTTTCTAAAAATTTGAAAAAATTTGTTTGAGCTTTATTTTTATCAATTTAAAAATAAATAAAATCTAAAAATGAAATTAAACAGTGTTTACTTGTTTGGTTGGTGAGATAATAATGCATAATATTTATGACCGATAGTTTGTTTCAGTCTATAAATCAGTAGTTTTTATCATTTTTTTTTGGTTGGTGAGATAGTGGGGGAATAGTAAAGAAAGTGAAATTTGGGTAACTGTCGTAAATATTTATCAGCCTCACATATTTATTTATTTTTTGGGTTTCCTTTAGCTAATCATTAATTTAGGGTATCCTCTTTTTGTAATTTTGGAATTCTATAATTTTTTAGTTTTTAGGCCTATGTTCTTTAAGGCTGTTAAAAAAAAAGAGGGAAGTTACCCATAAATCCCAAATGTTGATCTTGTGTTCCATTTGGTCCCAAATTTATTTATTTATTTATTTTTTGTGATCCATTTGATACTCTCTATTTTGGAAAAGACATAAGTGCCATTGGGTTAATCACAGGCTACTTTATGTAAGTTTTTTATTCAGTATATGCTTAAAACTCGCCACGCTATGCACATGGTTGGGTGACACACAACACAAAAGTACACTAAGGCTTTTTGTACTTTTTTCTTTGTGGGTTGATACATTGCACGTAACACACATACCACTCTCCCCCCTTATTACCCGACACGTCACGTTAGAATGTCACATTTGGGAAAAGTACATTAAAGAGTTTTTAATTTTTTTAAAGTGTCACATCATACCCGCCACGTTGGAGTATCACATGTCACGTTTGAGAAAAGTACACTAAAGAGTTTCTAATTTTTTTAGAGTATCACATCATACCCGCCACATTGTCACGTTTGAGAAAAGTACAGTAAGGAGTTTATTTCTTAAGTGTCATATCATATTTGCTACGTTTTCACATTAGGGAAAAGAATACTAAAGAGTTATGATTTTTTTTAAGTGTCACATCATACCTGCTACGTTGTCACATTAGGGAAAAGTACTATAGCGATTCTGGTTTTAGGCTCGACCCATTTGAAATTCTGGACTCGGGTTTCATGGCTCTGTATTATTGTTCATGTCTTATTTCCCTTATAATTTCTTGGCTTTGGCTATTGGATTGTTGTGGTTGCGTATGGGACAGGTTGGTTGCTTAGTTTCTAAATTTTTTGTTGCCTAGATTTTTGCTCCTCTACTCGAGCGACACTTCTTGTGCTCGACCGAGCTTTGCAAACTCTCAGTACTTTGGTAGGTCTACAAAACTATTGGGAGAGTGTATTCTACGCTCAAGCGGGCTCAACTCGAGCAGCCTTTATTACGCTCGAGCGGGTTCAACTCGAGCAGCCTTTATTATGCTCGAGCGTTGGTCTATTGTCTGCAAAATGTTCCAGGTGTGGCCAGTTAGGACACGTTAGCAGTTCTTGTCCATGGCATGTGAGTTCTCAAGGTATCTTGAGTTTGAGAATAACCAACTTTAGCGGTCCAATGAGGGACGGTAACGGTGGTAGTACCAACGGGGTAATTTTGTTTTGGCTATTCTGTTTTGTAACCCGTGGGTTATTATTTTGTAATCATTAGGTTCTGTTGTGTGACCAATGTGTTTTGGGGATGTTGAGACGTCATAATTGCTTGTTTATATATATGTACCTTTGCTTGTTTATTTCCATGGATTGGGCGGATTGGAGCATGTAATGACTCTAAAATTTTATTAATATGACAAGTTGTTGTGGAATCGGAAAATTTTCATATTGATGCATATATACGCTTGTGATTTGGTTTGGGAAGGTGATGGATGGTGAGCCATTTTTGAAATTAAAAAGAGTTGTTGAAGGATGTGTGTTTTTGGTGGGGTTACCATGGGACAAGAACAGTTATACTTGCTGGGTGTGTGCAATTTCGTGAGCGTTTCTTATTTGGTCTTATATGCGTGGTGAAGGTTTTGGTCTACTATCGTGAGAATTCCTCGAAAGGATGTGAAGTGTGCGATTGACACTAGGTTTTGTACATATAGTGCGTTGTTTTCAAGGATGAATCGCGTATAGTTTCGTTAGGTATAGACTTGTACCTTAATGGTAGGTTATGGTAGCGGATCTTCGTGTTATCTAGTTAGCTATTTCTTGTGGAGGGATGTTAGTCCCTTATCGTAGTAGTGGTTGTTGGCGTTGATGGGTGGTGTGTTCTGAGTAATTGGTATTATATTTCGAATAGTGGTATAATGGGCGTTTGCTAAGTTCTAGGATTCCTTTATGGTATTTGGATGTGAGAGGTGTGTATCTCAATTCTGGTTAAGTTAAGAGATGTTGTTGGAAGGGTTGGTCGGGTATATAACCCATAGTTAGTGTGTGACCTATGTGTAGGGTCACAATGGTTTTGTGTTTATGAGTCGAGGTTTGGAATGACGGTTAGGAGGTTAAGAACTTGTTTTGTTCTTCTATAGAGTTAGGATGGTAAGACTTTGAGAGCCTTGTAGGTGTCGTGTGTGTGTGCTTAGGGCTTGGTTTAGGGCAATTATTCAATGAGTATCAACAGCTGGTGGATTGACTAGGAGACTTAGTATTTTGGTTGTACACATGTATTAAGTGACGGGTAGAATGTGGATTAAAGGGTTGACCTTATTGGTTACTGAGAGATGGAGGTGTTGTGTTTACTTGTTGTTCGATTTGGGTGGTTACGTGGTAACGATGATGTAACTTTCTTTTCATGCTCCTTTCAGATACGACTAGCCCTACAGTTCGGACTCCCCTGGTTCTAAATCTGATTCCACAAGTGCAATGTGAAATAGATAAACACAAATGAGTCCAAATCCAGCAATTCTTTTGGAAAATCGATTTTGAATCAAAATACCAAAAATGGACTGCTTTGCCAGATTACAGCACTGCCATCTAAATGTTTTGGGAAATTTAGAAAACCCGAGACTCGTGCCAAAGGCCACTTATCCGTCAATAACAAAGTATCTCTGTAGACACCCCATTTTTGACCGCCCTTAAGACTTGGGCGTCTCAAGTTGATCACTTGATGATGAAAGTTATGCTGTACAAACGTTCGATTTCTTCAGTAAGAAGTGCTTCTAAATCCCAACCTTACACCCCATTTTGACCAAAACTATTTTAGACCTTCAAACCCTCTTTTTCAAAATATTTTTCCAAACGTTTCTACGATGTTCCAAGGCTCGCATTTTGTTTAAAAATACTGCACTTTTCGGTAAACTGAGATTGGACAAAGTGGAGATAAATGTAAGAGAGGTGAACTCTTTGAAAAATCTTTAAAAACTTCTTATTTATTGGTTTGGAGTTGAAAAAAATTGGAGGGGAGGGAAGAAAACTTGTTGAGAAAGAAGTTAGGCATCAATCCTTTATGATAGAAATGAGAAGCCTTCCCTAAAATAGGCTTATCTCTTTGCACACTTAGAATTTAGATGTGAGGCCACATTCATTGGAAATTAGACTTTCGGGGCTTCAATTTAGGCCCAAGAATGACCTAAAACCAAGTCCAGATTAGGGAGATATGCCTGTTTGAAGTCAGGCTTAGAAGCAGATTTTTGTAGCCAGCCACCCACTTTTAGTGGCCTGCCGGCCAGTTGTGAACCACCCACTATTAGTGGCCTGCTAGCCACTTGTGTCAAAACCCAAATAGTTTTGGCGAACTGTCTCCACAAATGCATGCACCACTCCCGCTGTCTGTATACAGATATTTTTGAGATAGGCATATGTTTTTCTATATATAGATGACTGTAGACACCCCATTTTTGACGGCCCTTCAAGACTTGGATGTTCTTGCAGGTACATCTGATGACAAGTGTAATTGCTCGCCAAGCGCTGAAAGTCCCCGGCGGAATGCCACAACTTTGAGCCTTTCAAACCCTGCATCATTTTTGTCCCATTTTTGGACCGTGCCTTGGTCTTTCCAGCTTGCATTCTCTGGTGGCCTGCCGGCCATCCATGGAGGCTGCCAGCCAGAGCTTCTGGTCTGTCGGCCATTGATGTGGCTTGCCGGCCATCGTTGATGGTCGGCCGGCCACCAATGTTTTATGCAGATATTTTGTGCCAACTATGCCAGCTATTTGCACAGATACTTGCATCTGTCCACACGTGGAGGGCTGGATCTCCATGTAGAGAATTCATGTTTTGTATATATAGGGAGGCCCTCTCTCATGTTTTAAGGTTAGAAGATTTAAAACTCAAAATTTTCTCTCTCTCTCTCTCTCTCTCTAGATTTCTCTCTCTCTCTCTCTCTCTCTCTCTCTCTCTTGCAAATTTGTGCAAATTAGCCTACTTACACTACACTCTTGCCTTGACTTCCTTAACCAAACTTGCTCACCTTTGAGTTAAGGATCTTTGAGGCCCTCTTGGAGCTCTACAAGTTGCATTTGGCTTGAATTGTTGCCTAGAATCACTCTTCTCTTCAAGAGGTATAATATTTGCTTTGTTAGCTTACTTTGCATACTTATTTTCCTATCTTTTTTTTTTTTTTTTTTTTTGGGCTATAAAAACTCTGTCAAAATGGGCTGAAATTTGTGGTTTGAAGCCATTTTAAGGTAAGGGGTGGTTCACCCTTCTTTGTACATTGTTTGTCACTTGTGTTTCCCATCTTTAAATAATCTTTTTGGGGCTTTTAACCACCGAATTTCAGAGTATTTTCAGTGGAAAAAAAACATGTTTTGAAGTCCAAAATTGGAGGGGTTAGCCTCCCATCCTTGTGTCTTGTTTGCTAGCCTAGTTAACTCCATGTGCTAGCATGATTTTCTATCTTTTTGTAGCTTTATTCCAGCATGTTTTTGCCTCTGTTTTGAATTGCTTTAGCTCTGTTTTGGGCTGTTTGGGTCAGTTGAGTCTTGTTTTGCATGGTTGTAATGCAATAGTCCTCACATGCTTGGTGTTTTAGGCTCTAGACACCTTCTTGTTTGAGTTAATAGTATTTGTTTATGCTTTTATCACTCATTTTAAGCACTTAATCATCTCTGCAACCTCTCTCATTTCTTGGTTCTATTTTTGCTTTGAAAGTGGTTCAAACCATTTGCTTGTTTAAAGCATGAAATTGAGGTTTTGTGCTTAATGGTTTAATCCCTTTGGGGGTTCATTACAATGGCATGAGCTCTCTTTCATGCCTAAAACAACCTTTGGTTTGAGCTTTCTTTCCATTTAGAGGACTTAATTTACCATTTGGACTTAATTTGATTAAAGGATGGTTGGTATGTAAAATGGTGTAAATAAAAACTTGAGACAAGTAAAAGTGAGCCAAGATAATAATTTGGTTGTGTTGTGTGTTTAATAGGACATTAATTGAACACATGGAACTTGGACCATTTCATACTTGTTAGTAATGAAATGATCCAAGTTTCCAACGTCGACTTCTTCCCTTGATCTTTCATGAAAGGGAAGAGGTTTGTGTCTCATTTTGCATTTATTGAATTCGCACCTCTTGAATCACAAGCCATCATGCAATGAAATTGCTTGAATTGGGGGTTTGTGGCTTAAGTTCATCAATCCTTGGATTTGTTCAAGAAAAGGAAGGGTGAGTTGTGCAAACAATTTGCGGGAATACCCTCTTTTTGCTCTGTTTGTACTCTGTTGCAGAAGGGTGAACCAATGCATCAGTGGTTGGCAGGCCACCTTCATGGCTTGCAGATGGCCGGTAGCATTTACCAGTGGCCGGCTAGCCACTGATGTAAACCTCAGTAGAATTTTGGTAAGTTGGAGCAGAAAGGTTCTGGAAATGTTCAACTCTGCAAATAGAGGCTTTCGAGAGGAAAACAGAGGTCTTTTCGGGTGGAAACTGAGCATGCGCATCTTTCATTTCCCGAGGCAGGGTAGTGATTAGTTTAGTCTAGTTACTTAGTTAAATTATTAGTTGCAATTGTTTTGTAATTATGTAATTAGTTAGTTAGCTAATTAATTCAAGTGTTGTAATAATAATTAGTTAATTAGTTTAGCTAGTTATTTATTTCTGGTTTGTAATAATTAGCTTAATTAGCTTTAATTAGCTTTGTTTAGTTAGCTAGTTAGCTTATTCATTCGGACTCTCCTTCGTGAGAGCAAAATGTAATAATGTGTATGTCTTTCAACCCCACGTCTTTCTCCCTTTTATTTAATCGCTTTTAATGGTTAGATTAGGGGACATGTCTCAATTTAGCATACCTTATGCTTACATCCATTCATTCGTATTGCATGCACTAAGGCTCGGCACATCATTCAAACTGCATTGTTGTTTGTGGAGTGGTTTGGAAATAGTCTTGGATCTTGAAGGACATTCTTGATCCTCTGATTGCCACTTGAAAATGGAATTAACACTCCGGTCGGGGGTGCTGGAATTAGCACTCCGACGGACAAGTTAGTATTCGTCTCTCGTTTGCTTGTGTCTTAAGTTTCTTTAGTCTGTTCTCACATACCTCTCTTTAGTTGATGCTCTTCTCTTTTATACTCGTCCTTGGTCTCGGGGGTCAGGCCCACTTTTAATCCAGCGCATTACTGCCTACTCGGTCATTTTGTCGTGTGCCTATTCGTATTTAGCTTCTTGTACGTCTGATTCTATGGCCAAGTTAACTATTCAGCTTCAGGGTCCCTTAGGACAGAGCCGAATAGTATATATCCTGATTTCCTTTAGATTCATTTGATTTTCCTACGTATACTATTATCCGACTCCCACAATTACCCCTTGAACATCCTACTAATGCTAGTTAGTCTGCATGTTTGGTCTTGAACTTGGAGAGTGCAAAATACGGTGGCTTCCCTCATCCCAACACAAGTGTCAGAACATTTACGCTTTTTAAGAATCATTACAATTTCCCGCCCTTTTGAACGCTTCATTCATTTAATGCGATTTGAAACTATGTTGTCCCTTCGAATGTATGTTTTTTTTGAAAATGCAAAGCTTCTTGGTTGCCTGCCAGTTTGCCTCCTTCACTTCATGACCTCTGCAACTTTTTCTCGTTCCTTACTGTCTTTCCTACTTTTTGTAAGTTCTCCGCTTTTCCCTTTCGACTCCCATTTCCTTGTTTTTTAGTTTAGCGTACTTTCTATACTGGTTAGGATGGGGAAACATTTGAAAGCCCTTCTTTCTGCAGACCGAATTTCTGGTTTTCGACTCCATTTTTCCATTCTTGACGACGTCCATCTGTCACTCATGGCAGAGAGCGTAATTGACATGGCGAGGACCGATGAGAGTACAATTATCTTTCCTCTCCTGTCAATCGCTTAGGGCGAAGTCTGTTTCCCCCTTCACCCATTTTTGAGGGCCGTCCTTCGTCACTGGGGTCTAATCCCTTCTCAGCCTAACGTAAACTTTTTTCGAATCATAATGGGAATTGTAGAATTAAACCGGCACCTTAGGCTCAATCTTGGAATCCCTACTATTCGACATTGCTTTGCCTTGGCCAAATCCTCTGGCCAGTAGGGGCACTACTTTCTCAAGACCAAGGACATCGACCATCATTTGGAGACTATGCTTGCCAGCTCTGGCAAGCGTGTTGACGATGTCATGGTTGTTATCCGAGGCAATTGAAAATTTGGCGAGGGTGAAGATCGTCTAGATCCTGTGCCCAGACGAAAAGGTGAACCAAGTGGCCGCATAGTCCTCCATATGTAATTGTTATATATTTACCCGGCTTAGATTCTATGTACTTATCATTTTATTTACACAAGTAAGGATTTGAAGAAAGTTCTGGTCTCGGCCGATGAAGTTGTACTTGCACAAATCAAAGCCGCGCTTTAGTTCTTCGGCCGTCCAAACCTCCAAAAACAAGGGAGGGTGACCCACATACTTCTGAGATATGAGCCAACTTACACTACGTTTTCAGCCATAGATAACATTCCAATTCCAAGTGGCGAACAACAGCTTACAGTGCTTGTTTTCCCGAACTTCAAAAATCTTAGGGAGATTGGTCTTGACGCTTCAGATTCAGCGCAGGCGAACGAATAAATAACCGAAGAAGTCACTGAGTAGCTGAATCAGTCCACCTTGGACAGATCCGATAGTCTTGGGGAGGAGGTTGACGTGGCTCTAAATTTGACTTTTGAGGAAGCTGGCCTCAATCCATCCAACCCTCCATCCACTTCAGGCCGAGTAGACATCTCCTTTGAAGATATTTTTACCAACTTAGGGGACCTTCCCGGTGCATATCCTGAGAATATGGCTGGGGAGGCGCTCACGCAGATGGCCAGGAAGAAAAATGCTGAGAGGCTGGCCGCCCGGAGGAAAGCCGAAGCCAACCGATCTGAACCTCCAATCGTTGCTGGGGCAGAGTCTTCTCTGCCTGCTCTTGTGGAAGAAACGACTCATATTGACACAGCCAAAACGGAGCACATTGTCGATCAACAAGGCAATCAGGAGGCCGAGCATCTGGGGGAAAGACGCCCTGCCTAGCATGAAGCAGACTCTGTAGAAAATCTAACCGATAAACGGCCGTGCATAGAGGAGTCAGACTTGGTTGTGTCGTTTATCATACAACCGAGGATAAAGAACGTGCCGATTACTTCTGATGCATCGGCTATGAAAGACCCTGCTGTGGCCTTAAGCATGGCCTTTTCAATTTCGCTGCCGGTTGACAGAGCAACCTTTCGGGCGGAGACAGATTTGCTGTCAATAGCATTAGCCGTTCAACTGGCCATATTGGGACATGACTTGAGCCTCATCTACAATCTTGGGCCTATATTTTTTATTTTTATTTTCTATTTAACTCTAATTCCTTGTTTTGCAGACGACGGGCAAGACAACTAAGATTGGCCGCCGTCAACATGATGCTATTGAACAAATCGACTTTCTCACTGCCGAAATTGAAAATGAAAAGAGCAAGGCCATGGAGGCCTCTCTCAAAGCCAAGTCCGAAGCAATGAAAGTGGCGGAAGAACGCGTGAGTGCCGATGCCGAGGCAGAAAAGGCCAAGAGTTCCGACCAACTCAGGTTGGCCGCCGAAGAGAGGGCAAACGTGAGCGACGATGCGCTCAAGTTAGCCCAGGAGGTGATTGCCAAATTGGAGGCTGATTTGGAAGCATCGAAGAAGGCAAAAGAGATAGCTGACTCTGAGATTTCCAAAGCATTCCAAGTTAGATGGACGCTACTTTGGAAAATTACGTAGAGGAAGTACCCAAGTTCAAGAATCGGGGCTTCAAACCCGGCTGGCTCAAAGCCCTCACTGCCGCTAATGACATTGGCACAGCCGATTCCATACGAGCAGATGGATGTTGAGCTGCTGGAGTCTGACCCTGAAGATTGACTAGGGAGTAATTTTGATTTTTGTTAGGCATCTTGTGTGCGTAGTTTTTGTAGATTTTTGTTTATTTATTTAAGTTAGAAGTTAAATGTGGGGTAATTTTCATGTGTAAAATGGCTACTATTTGTTCTCAATTTATTAATGAAAATTTCATTTGCCTTTCTGTCTCTTTGCTGCATGTGCTAGTTAATAACTAAGTAGGATGTAAAATCATGAAATGAGTAAATTAATTCGGCGATAAAATAACTGCGTATCTTTGCAATTTAGGCCAATATATTAATGAATCTGCCATTGCCTCAGCTAATGAATGAACTGGATCGCTGAATATTGGTAGTTCATGGATTGGCTGGGGCACATCCACTTAGTGGCGCAAAGCTTTGAAATTTAGCCAAGTGGATTGAAGAATCTGCCGTTGGCCTAGCCAATGAATGAACTGGATCGCCGAATATCGGCAGTTCATGGATTGGCTGGGGCACATCAACTTAGCGGCGCAAAGCTTTGATATTTAGCCGAGTAGATTGATGAATCTACCCTTGCTCCAGCTAATGAATGAACTGGACCGCCGAATATCGGTAGTTCATGGATTGGATGGGGCACATCCACTTAGCGGTGCAAAGCTTTTAAATTTAGCCAAGTGGATTGAAGAATCTGCCCTTGGCCCAGCTAATGAATGAACTGGACCGCTAAATATCGATAGTTCATGGATTGGCTGGGGCACATCAACTTAGCAGCACAAAGCTTTGACATTTAGCCAAGTAGATTGATGAATTTGCCATTGCCCCAACTAATGAATGAACGGGACCGCCGAATATCAACACTTCATGGATTGGCTAGGGCACATTCACTTAGCGGTGCAAAGCTTTGTAATTTAGCTGAGTAGATTGATGAATTTGCTCTTGCCCCAGCTAATGAATGAACAGGACCGCCGAATATCGGCAGTTCATGGATTGGCTGGGGTACATCCACTTAGTGGCGCAAAGCTTTGAAATTTAGCCGAGTAGATTGAAGAATCTGCCCTTGGCCCAGCTAGTGAATGAACGAGACCGTCGAATATCGGCAGTTCATGGATTGGCTGGGGCATATCCACTTAGCGGCGCAAAGCTTTGAAATTTAGCTGAGTAGATTCTTGAATCTACCCTTGGCCCAGCTAATGAATGAACTGGACTGCCGAATATCGACAGTTCATGGATTGGCTGGGGCACATCAACTTAGCGACGCAAAGCTTTGAGGTTTTGGCATGGAGTATTAAAGAGGTCGCCTCGGGAATGCTACACCCGTAGTTAATAAATGGGGTGGGGGCTGTGTGCGCATAGGTGCCACGTTTGTGAGAGGGAAAAAAGCACTGTGTCGAACCAAGCTAGACGACTGTGGATGGGAAGAAAACTATTCTTTAACAGTAGAGGGGAGGGTAGGACACTGGTAGAATTGTACACAGAAGTGAACCGAGATGGTGAACCTATGTGCACGGGGAGTAGGTTATCGGGGGAGCGTGAGAGGCGTCGCTCCCCACGTTGTCGAAGTAGGTCACCTAGGAAGGAGAAGTAGCAGCTAGGTAACTCCCCTTGTTCTAGAGGAGAAACCAGTAGGCCATCGTGCCCATTGAGTTTTTTGGTCTTCGTTGGGAACAAACTGATGACAGAAGCGGATTTGATTATCCGCGACCCAAATGTGGTAGTCGAGTTCACTTGATAGATTTTTTCGCCAGAAGTCTAGCAGTCGATGGTCGGCCGGGCTGATTTTGAAGTTTTTCGGGAGGGCATCCATAGAGTAGTAAAGGGGTTATACACCGCCTATGAAATCAGCATGCGTCTTCGTGTCTTGTGAAGAAATAGAGCAAAAGGACGGTTGCATTCGGAGCTTGCAATCTGATGCAGAGAAGGCCAAAAATGTGCTGAAGAAGGCTAACACCTCTAAAACTCAGTCGATGAGTCAAGTGAACCTGATTGTCGCGGAATGAGTAAACTGGCGAATTTTGGATCATGCGATTGCCAACTGAGAAATGACGAGCATGTTCGCAATAGAAGCTACGAAGACCAAGTCCTATGAACAAGGCTTCCATGATGGCCAAAAAATTGGAATAGACAAGACGAAGGAAAAACTAGCCGAGGAAGTCTGTCGATGAGAAAATTGTGGATTTAAGTATGGATGGATAAGGGCTCTCCACCCCGCATGTGTTGATCCGGCGTCACCTTTGTATCAGAACTATAGTTTTCCATTTGAGGCTTTCGACGTCGAGAAGACTGACGATGAAGATGGAGCCGAATCATAATATATATATATATATATATTTTTACATTGTTCCGTTTTCATGTAAATCATGTATTCACGATGAATTTAATGAAACATTTTATTTGAATGTCTGTATGTTGTTTCAATTAATGTTTGTAAATTAAGTCATGACCATCTACGACTTTACGTCAATCGCATTTGCACTTGTCAATCGTAATATCCACAAAGGGCACTCCGAATTCGGAGGCTTTTATCTTGGCCACTCGTGATATCCACGAAGGGCGCTCCGAATTCGAAGGCTTATTCGGCCCAAACGTGTCATTCACAGATGGGGCTCCGAATTCGAAGGCTTTTTGTGTTGGCCAATTGTGATATCCACGAAGGACGCTTCGAATTCGGAGGCTTATTCGGCCCAAACGTGTCATTCACAGATGGGGCTTCGAATTCAGAGGCTTTTTGTGTTGGCCAATCATGATATCCACGAAGGGCGCTCCGAATTCGGTGGCTTATTCGGCCCAAACGTGTCATTCACGCATGGGGCTCCGAATTTGGAGGCTTTTTGAGTTGGCCAATCGTTATATCCACGAAGGGCGCTTTGAATTTGGAGGATTATTTGTCCCAATCGTGTCATTCACGCATGGGGCTCCGAATTCGGAGGCTTTTTGAGTTGGCCAATCATCATATCAACGAAGGGCACTTCGAATTCGGAGGCTTATTCGGCCCAAATACATCATTTACGCATGGGGCTCCAAATTCGGAGCCTTTTTGAGTGGACCAATCATCATATCAACGAAGGGCGCTTCGAATTCGGAGGCTTTTTTGTGTTGGCCAATTGTGATATCCATGAAGGGCGCTCCGAATTCGAAGCCTTATTCGGCCCAAACGTGTTATTCACGCATGGGGCTCTGAATTCGGAGGCTTTTTGTGTTGGCCAATCGTGATATCCATGAAGGGTGCTCCGAATTCGGAGGCTTATTGTCACAGAACCATAACTCGCTAGGCAAGAAAGAAAAAGCATTATATTGGAAAAGAGAAAGATGTACACGGCGAAAAATCAAAACAAGCTGTCATGCCGTACAAGTTTGCTTAATGATAAAATTTGTGCAAGTGTGTGGAATTCCAGGGACACGGCAAACTTCTTCCATCCATGTCTTTGAGCCGATATTCCCCTATTCCTGCGATTGAGTCAATCTGATAGGGGTCGTCCCAGTTGGGACCTAACTTTCTGTCAGCGGGATTCCTAGCAGCGGGAAGCACTTTTTGGAGAACAAATTCTCCTGGTGTATAACGACGTAGCTGTACACATTGATTATACAATTTAGCGAGCTGTTGCTGGTACCGTGCCATGGATGCAAGGGCATGGTCTCGGCGTTCTTCAATCAGAATCAAGTCCAAGGCCAACATCATGTCATTTCAGTCCATGTCAAAAACCTTCGATTTCAAAGTTGGAAGGCTAATCTCTAGAGGGATGATTGCTTGGGTTCCAAAGCAAAGAGAAAACGACGTTTTCCCAGTGGATCACCTTGGAGTAGTGCAGTGGGCCCATAATACGCTGGGTAGCTCTTCGACCCACTTGCCTTTTGCTTTCTCTAGCCTTTTCTTAATGCCGTGCAGAATGACTTTGTTTGTGGCCTCCGCTTGACCGTTGCTTTGTGGATAAGCCGACGAAGAAAAGTAGGGTCGGATGCCATACGTGTTGCACAACTCTCGATATACGCCACAGTCAAACTAGGTACTGTTATCTAAGACAAGGGCTCTTGGGATGCCGAATCTCGTTATGATGTTTTTCCATACAAAACTCTTAATGTCGGAATCTCAAATATGTGTTAGTGCCTTCGCTTCGACCCATTTTGTAAAATAATCCGTTGCAACAATTAAGAATCACTTGTTGCCTGGGGCTGTGGTAATGGTTCGACGATATCAAGCCCCCATTGAGCGAACGGCCAAGGACTAGTGATAGAGTTTAACTCCTCGGCAAGCAGATGAGTTAAGGGGGAAAACTTCTGGCATTGCTCACATTTCTTGACATAACACTCAGCATCGGTCAACCAATAGTACCCTTGCTTTACTGCTCGATGGGCCAGAGAACGTCCACCTGAATGGGCACCACAACTGCCTTCATGTATTTCAAACAAAAGTTCCTTGACTTTATTCGGGTGAACACATTCTAAGTACGGCCTGGAGAGAGATTTTTTTTGTAGAGCTTCCCCTGCGGATCCAAGTAGTATCGGAAGGCTTTGTTTTGCAGTTTGTGTGCTTCTTTCTTTTCCATCGGGGAGCTGCTCTGAGGATAGGAATGCGGCGATAGGGTCTATCCAACTTGGACCCGGCTCGATAACGTTGATCTGAACTGATTCTGAAGAGGCAATGCTCGGCTCAAGGATAAACCTACTTCGATTGTCCGCTTAATTTTTGAGTTGATGGCAGAGGCTAAGCAAGCTAGGGCATCCGCATGCGTGTTCTGATCCCGGGTTGTTTGATTCAGTTCATGGTAATCAAATTTCGCGAGGAAAGAATTTTCTGTTTTCATATAGGCTGCCATGCGGTCATTTTTGGCTACATATTCTCCTTTCAACTAATTGATTGCTAGCTTTGAGTCATAGAAAACAAGCAGACGCCACGCACCGAGGTGAAGTGCATTCCATAGGTCGGTTAATGGGGCTTCGTATTCGGCCTCATTGTTTGATGCATCGAAGCCTAGTTTGATGGCCTGTTCAATTATTGCCCCTTCGGGGGTCATGATTACTATGGCAGCCCCACTGCTACGTTGGTTG